CTTTTTAAAATTGGGTTGAATAAGCTGTTGGCTAAACTTTGAAATCATTATTACCATGGTAAAGGTATGGGTCCATTAAGGAACTAGTCATTCGATGGTGAAAAGTTTGTTTGGTCTTTTCTTTATCATTATCATTTACTCTAGTTATATACCGGTTTGATCCTCATTGGTAGCATTAAGGTAATAATGATCACATGGTTTAGCTGACTTATTGATCCTGTCAATGTGTCAATAAACTTGTCATTAAAGGAGTAGCGACAATAAGGCCCTTATGATGGCTCAAATATTATTCTTAAATTTGTCCTAACTACACTTAGGTACAAGGTGTTCAGAAAATAAAAATAAATTTCACGTTTAACGAATTACTATGACAACAACATGACGATTTTTGTATATTTTTTAGATTACTTGATTTTCCTTGTTTTACATTAATTTTCAAATATAATTTAATTTGGGAAAATACGTGCGCACCAAAGAAACAACTTTATACTTGGTTAGAGGACTAAATGAAAAATTGTAAATTAAGGCGACTTTTAAATCTTGTACATCGATTTAGAAGAGACAAATCCGTGTAACAAACAAAAACGAGAAAACTAACGACCGACTTGATTTAGGATAAAACAATAAACGAAAAACACCAACAAAAATGACAGACAGCAATCAACATTAATCACTGAATAAATGGCTCCTGACTTGGGACAAGCACATACAGAATGTGTCGAGTTTAAACATGTCTGCGAGTGTTTAAGTATCCCCCCTAACCCCGGACAGTGGTGTAACAGAACTAATAATAAGACCAAACTGTATAAATCACTTGAAAAGGGTTTGACTCATCAGTTCGGCATAAAACACAAAAAAAAAAAAAAATAACAAAAAGATAAGAGACGCCAAGCACCGATCTTCGAGTAATCGCAGTAACTGAATACCATTTTAAGGCCAATACAACTAACAAATAGAATATAGATATAAGAAGATGTGGTATGAGTGCCAATGAGACAACTCTCCATCCAAGTCAAAATTTATAAGTGTAAACCATTAGAGGTCAAAGTACGGTCTTCAACACGGAGCCTTGGCTTACACCGAACAGCAAGCTATAAAGGGCCCCAAAAATTACTAGTGTAAAACCATTCAAACGGGAAAACCAACGGTCTAATCTATATAAAAAACGAGAAACGAGAAACACTTATGAACCACATCAACAAACGATAACTACTGAACATCAGATTCCTGACTTAGGACAGGTGCAAACAATTGCAGCGGGTTTAAACGTTTTAATGGTACCAAACATTCACCCTTATCTGAAACTATAATGTAACATCACAACATAGAAAGAGACACTATAGAATATCAATTGAAATGGCTTAACTCAATCAAAAGACATATTAACACCAGTGAACTTACACTGAACAAATAAATTTGATCTATGATACAATGTAAATACAAAATAAATAAACTAAGGGAAGAATAATTAAAGTAACATGTTATACCGCTGTGAAATGTTAAATAATTTCAAGAAAAACAAAAATATCAGCCATTTGCAAATACTTTAAACACAGGTAAATGAAAATAATTTTGTTGTTAGGTATACGTGTACAGTTCAAATGGAGAAAGGAAATATTTTTACAAAATAAATAATTTTGATGTTCATAGTACGAAGAAGTGAAAATTTATAGTAATACCAAACACTTATCAAAGCTGGTATATAGACCAGATAAAATCCTGAATAAGTAAACATTAAATCACAAAAAAACATTACAATTAGTATATCAACAGGTCAAATAAACAAGAAAGTACGATTTGAGAGTACTCGCATTTACTGACAGCTAGTTAAAAGCCAAAAACAATTAATAATAAAAAAAATCATGCATCAGAGACTAAAATCAACTAAAACACATCCCAGGGATTTAGTATTTTAACGTCATGGATTGTCAAAGAAGACACGACTTTTGCAATGCCAAAAATAAATGTATCGACAGGCAGTAGGATAGTTAGGGGTTAACCTCTTTATAGATCAAAATGAACGAGGGTGTGTCTTTATACATCCCGTTTAAAAAGGATACAAATTTAGTTATGTTTTAATTTGCTGATGACAAAATCGATATTAGTGCCAATGTAAACTATATTCAAAGATCTTATTACAACATTGGTAAGATAACCTTTACTAATAAGTTTGTTTAAAGGTTCGATGAGTTTACACGGATCACATAGTGATTTCCGCGCTTTAAGTACAATATTACCGTAAAATTTAGGATGTGAAATACCGTTTTTAATCAGTTTTCTACAGGTACAGCCAAATTTACTAATCAAATCTTTGTATCTATGAAAGAATTTAGTAAAAGTTTTACGTAATTTATGGTAACGAAATCCCTGACTTAATAATTTACCAGTGATGCATTGATTACGTTCGTTAAAATCTATGACATCACTACACTCACGGGCATAACGAACGAGTTGGGATATATAAACACCGTATGATGGAGCCAAAGGAACATCGCCGTCTAAAAAAGGGAAAATTAACGATAGGGAATGAAAAGTCGTCTCTTTTGTCGTAAATTTTAGTATGAAGTTTTCCTTTAGAGATTGAAATATCCAAATCTAGAAAAGGATAACCACTGCTGTTTTATGTTTGATTTAGTTAAAGTAAGTTCTTTTGGGTAAATTTCGGTAGTATATTTAGAGAACTCTGGATTATTTAACGAAAAAATATCATCCAGATAACGGAAGGTATTGTTAAATGTATCTACCAAATGTAACAATGACGTGTCTTGACTGAGTTTGGTCATAAACTGAGATTCATAGCAATACAGGAATAAATCTGCTATTAAAGGGGCGCAGTTAGTTCCCATAGGAATACCTCCTACTTGTCGATACACTTTATCGCTGAAACGTACATATATGTTGTCCAGGAGAAAATTTAAAGCTTCAGTCATATCTTCACATTTCCAGTAAGTGTATCTAGCATACTTTCCTTTTTCGTTACAGAAAAAGGCTTTAAACGAGTTACAGTAAATAAATTTGTAATGAGATTTTTCAAAAGACCATTTAATTAAATATGAAAACTTTTTCTTGATAAGATTGTGTGAAAGTGTAGTTTAGAGAGTAGAAAAATCATAACAGTCAACAGAACTAAAAGGACCACCAAAAGCATGTATTTTATCTAAAACCTCTAAAGAATTTTTAACACTCCAAAAATAATTAATACCATTATTTTCATAAGCTCTATTACAAAAGTTAATAGCAAGTTCTTTGATAGTAGTAAGGGAGGTAGTTAGAAGCACTGATAGATTGGTAGTAGAACACTTACTAGATGCGGAGATGAAACGGAATTTAAATGGGTTTTTGTGCAATTTAAGTAACCAGTATATAGTAGGGACTTTCAAATGTTCGGGAGAGGCTGTAAGCTGGGTAGTGGCAGTGATATGCTTGTTTACAATTTGACTCTCTGTGGAGCGTACGGACCTGAATGTAGAAGAATTTGTAATTTCGTTTTGAAGAACTTCCGTGTAGTATATGCGTCACACCACCACTACATTATTTGCTGATTTGTCTGCCGGTACGAACACAAACCGCTTTGCGAGTACTTAGAGTTTATTTTTTATTTTAGAAATGGGAATATCATTGACCCTATTACTAATTTCAGAATTGTTTTCAAAATGAGATATACGAATATTAACATTATTCATAATTTTATTCAATTAACTGTCTAGAAATTTTTTAATCAGATTTTTCACGTTTACACCAATTTTTACAGTAGACAGACAGGGCGTCTTTAATGACCTGACGACACTGTTTCCAATCTATTTTAGATGGAGGACGATATTTCGGTCCTTTCTTAAGAAAAGTTATGACCTTACGGTCAATGTTGAGGTCTCCTGTAAGGACATGACCATAGGAAACATATCTAAAACTAGCTGTTTCACAGTCTCAAGTGGAAGGAACATTATTTTCTATATTGACGAATGATGTAACTGACGTATAATTAAAAATCAAACCTCTGCTGGATTTTTTTTAAAGAATACGAAATAATAGGTGGTTCTATATTATCAAAATATGGAGGTATTTGTCTTTGGATGGTCGAGTCATTGAATATACTAGATAAGTTAATAAAATCAATACCTCTATTTATATATTTTAATTTAAGAAAAATGCGGTTTATGATTTTCAGGTTTATCGATACTAGGAAATAGCCTATGATGATAAAAGGCTGTAATAATACGGGTGTATTCATACATTATGATAAAAAAAGAAATTTTATCACACTCCAGAAAAATAGCATATAATTTACTTATTGGTATCTGACCCAGTTTGCATAATACTTGATGTCTGCAATTATTTTTTATTATAGATAACAGATCAGCAAGTGTATAATTTATACGATGTTTAATACGTTGATTACGGTTCTTGCGTTTGCCATGAGACCTTTTATTTCTAAGTCGTTTATCGACAATATTAATGACATCGATTGAAGTTTTAGTTATGTTCCCCTGTCCTAATATTTTGTCATAAAGACCGAGAGGATAAGCTGTTTGAAGTCTTTTTATCCAAAATAATTCGCGAACTTTACGTGATTTTTCAATTGCTTGTGCTTGTGTGATTCTCCTGTTTGTTTCTGAACGGTTTCAAGTGGTTGGAATTTTATAAATTTTAGATTGTGATTATGCTTATCTAAATGTTGATATATCAAACATTTGAATTTTTGATGTCTCCGAAAGCGGTAAAGGTGTTCTTGATTTCTTCTGTAATACTCTCGTCCCGTCTGTCCCACATATTGAATACCACACTAAGGTTGGGTTCAAGCTACCACATATAAAAGGTTTTGAGTTTTTCAGGTAATGTCACAGAAAAAGGAGAGCGAAAAAGCTCTCCCGTTCACTGTTGACCTTACAGTATTTTGTGAAGTTAATCTGAAACAGGTTAGTCACTTATCTAAACAATGTTAAAGATCACCTTTCGCCATCAACAAAAATTTAATCAATTCTAGCAATCCTATAAATAAATACCTAGCTTGGACTCTTTATGCGCTTCATGATGTTTACGTCTTGGCGTTGCAGGGTCGAAGTCATTCGTGACATCCCATATAAAAGCAGATATACAATCAACTAATGTGGAACATCTATAAGTCAAACAGTATTTTAATGACAACAATAATATATTAGGTGTGTTCACTGGTATTTGGCAGACTCCATTAATTTCGTCAAGATGTTCAGTTGTCACGTCTTTTGGGGAAACGTCTTTTTCCGTAATTGTAGGAATTAAAGAGACTACTATTTTCAGCCTCAATTGAAAAGTATCTTTACGCGTTGCATTCTCGTAAGGTGCACTAACTTTAATCATTACCACTGTCTTGAAAATCATACACTTCACTGGCTTTACATTACACCCTACCAGATAAATCTGAAAAGCACAAATGAAAGTTTAGAAATCTTTAATATGTTAGTCTTCATTTCATACTGGAACGAATATTTTTCAGCATGCGTTATTTTTTATAGTTTGCTAATGACTCACAGGTTGATTCAACTCGAAATTTAAAAAAAACTATGAGTGTCGTATATCGGAAAATTTCATGTGGGTCAATTTTTTTTTTATCAAAACCAACGACGAACCAAACCAATACATGCAAATACACGGTTTTTAATTAAGATATATTTGACGTGGTGTCCGTAGCAAAGTAAAGGAGAGTAAAAGTAAAATGATCCTTTGAATGTATTATCAATTTTGGTATAATGTGTTTTTTTCGAGGTATTAAAACATTGTCGTAATCCAGAACATTCAGGTTTATTTCCTACAAGTAATGTACTATATTTGTAAATTCAAAACAAGTTTCAATTACATTGAATATAATCGAAATTTTGGGATCACTCTTTGGCCTTAAGCTAATTAGGAATAAAACAGATGGAATATGGCATGGGAATTTGTGTAGAGAAAAGGTTGAAAATATTAGATGGACATACGGAACCATAAACTTTAAGGCCCAATGCATATATTTTGGACTTAATAAAAATGAATGTAAAAAATTAAATCTGCAACGACAGTACGAGAAATCAGAAAAAATAAATAACGAATGGAATAAGAAAAGACCTTAACAATAGTAGAAAAGATAACGGTTGTCAAATCATTAATAATATTATTTGGGTAGGAAGACTCATTCATAATGACGACTCATCACATAATTAGAAAGTCATACCAATATTCTACTTTTATGAATATAGACAAGAATTTCTTATATCCAGAATGAGTTTTGACAATTTAAATTTAATTGATAAATTAAAAGATTGAAGATTTTAAAATATATCAAAATAAATGGATAATGTCTTATCTTCCAAAATTGGATATAAAGTTATGTTCTATTTTTCAATGATATAATTAGGGAAAATTAATCAAAACATGATATCAAATAAACTATCTTTGCATGCCATTTGGTTTTCGGAATTCTCTTAATTAGGGAAAAATAAAGGCAACAGTAGTATACCGCTGTTCGAAACTCATAAATCTATAGAGATAAAAACAAATCCGGGTTACAAACCAAAACTGAGGGAAACGCATCAAATATAAGAGGAGAACAACGACACAACAAAAACACAACATTAAAATGTAACACACACAGAAACGAACTATAATATAACAATGGCCATTTTCCTGACTTGGTACAGGACATTTTAAGAAAAAAATGGTGGGTTGAACCTTGTTTTGTGGCATGCCAAACCTCCCGCTTTTATGGCAACGTCAAACACAACACCAAAACGACAACATCACATGACAGGACCACAATACAAATAAATGGGAGAACATATAGGACAAAGAAACACACGAATAATGGCTAACAAAATGTATTGGGCTTAAAATTCGATACGCCAGACGTGCGTCTCGTCCACACAAGACCAACCAGTGACGCTCAGATGAAAAAAGTTTAAAAGCCAAAACAAGTACAAAGCTAAAGAGCACCGAGGACCAAAACTTCCAAAAAGTTGCGCCTAACACGACCAGGGTTTTCTGCCTGGGACAAGAACATCCTTATTATTAGAATAATTTATAATTTTGCAAACAGTAAATTTTATAAAATGAATATATAATAGATATACATGATAAAACCGAAGTTGGGACTAACTACAGAATAAAAAGGAAAACAATACCAAAAAAGTGGTTGCATATGCTACCGAAAGAAGAATCAATTAAAACGAAAGTTGCTACTAATTCTGAGTTTGAATTTCAAATTTGGAATGGTAAAAAGATACAATACAAAATTATCTTATAAAGACATTTATCTTTCCCTCTTTAGTGGAGTGACAAATCAAGAAAAAAGGTTCTTACTTTACGACTTTAATAGACCGGCATAACTGCAGGCTAAACATTATCTTTTTGCAAAGCCAATACCTTAATCATACTTTTTTGCCAGATCGAATCCATATCCCGCGGTGCAATTTTTCATAAAATGAAAGAAAAAGACATGTGGATTTTTTCATTCAAAATTTACTTGATAACATTTTTTCGTTTCTTTTTTTTCGTCATCAAACACTTGATTTGGCTTCTTATGAAGAGTTAAAGCGCTAATTCATCCCATAAAACTATAATTCTCCCAATTTAGCCTTGTTATATTCGTTTTCACTCACTTTTAAAAATATGCAATCTGTTTTTTATCCACGGAGTGGTTACGACATTTGTAAATACGTTATATCGATATCTTCCAATTGTTTTGAGATAAAAAATCATACAACTTCATTTTGTAAAGTTTTGAATTCACGTTTTTTACATATTTTTTGAGACATTATAATAATGTGAATACAAGAAAAAGAGTGTGTGTGCCACCGACTTCACGAAGTTTGTATAGTTTGCTTGAAGATGTTGATATAAAAGGTATCATTATCACAAATCTTGTAATAATGCATACACTAGTATTGTAAATTTAAAAAATTTAACACAGCCTGATATTTTAAATGATCATACAGATACTTTCTATGCCGTTGCTCAATCATTTTGTTTCTTGTCTAATCTGACCAGAATAATGTCCACGCTTTTTGACTGGACTGCTTGTATTTTCTGCAAGCGCAAATAGTACTAATACTAACATGACAAACATCTGCGTTAAACTGAAGCTGACGAAGGACTTCAAGAATAGAATAAATGGTCAAAAACCAGATTTAGAATTAAAATCACTCCTTTTTCACAAGAATTTTAAACTGATGCCCTTCACTACATGGATTGTTTGGTTTTGTTTTTACTTTATATGCTAGCATTCCAAAGAAAGAAGAATTAAACGATGAGTTGGATGTTTTACGAGAAGGCTTCTCATTGCCTGATGGGTGACATCCATGAAGACTTGCTTGTTCATAAAAATGCATTTGTTTTGTCTTTTCTTTTGAAAAAAATACTGCTGCTTCCTACTTCACGAATTGAAAACAACGTACACTTAAGCCAAAATACAGTAAAGGTAAGAAAAAAAATATAGAAAATCAGTCGTTAAAAGGAAACAGTAAGAACGGGGAGAATCAAATGTAGGGTTCATTAGTTCAATCTCAATTTCTGAAGTCATTCAAGCAGCTAGCCATTTAAAATATATCTGGATAAATACTGTCAGAAATTGAAATCGAAATTGAGACAATAACTATAAATGAAGACCAAACATTGCTAGCAGCCGCTTCGACAGTTTCTAGTTAAATGCAGTTCTTAGATATATCAAATTGGACTTACCAAACTATATGTCATACACTACGCAACACATTCCTTGATTACTTACGAAGTTTTTGTTGTGTATAATTGATGCTTAAAGTTTCAATGGTAAGGGTAATGCTTCTGAACTTCCTGCCGACAAGATGTGAAAAGATTGGTAATAGCAGAATGTATATTTACATTAAACAACTATTTTTTTTACCCATTTCATCTTGAGTTGGCATTAGAACTACAGCATGAGCTTGTGTGAAAAAATATGATTGACAATCTTAATTCCAATAGCTTTTTGCATCATACTCGGAAGTAAGAAGACATCTCACTAGCTTAGAAAATTTGGAAATAGGCAGAATCCAAACAAAAAATCTAACGGTATTGCTGGGTTTGAAGAAGGTGGTCATAAAATCGGGAGGGAGCTTATAATATTGACACCAATCCTGAGACAATTCATGGTAAAAAAAACCTTTCACTCCATACCTATGGCTATCCTTCAGAATAAAAAAAGACACACCAAACGATATCATAAGTTCCTGTGAGGTTAAACTTGACCTATAAAGTTCTTTCACGCTTGATGATTCTAATATCAAACTTATTGCATGCTTACCAATCGACAAGCTAAAAAAACTATATTGACCTTGTTTTTCCTATGCTAACGCTAATATTAAGTTTTGTTTCAAGGGAAAAAATAGATACATCTGACATGTTTTGGATATTTTTCCGATTTATTTCAAGACAAAACTAAGATCCAATTCCCATTTCTGCAGAAAATACTTAAAAAATTGTCCCAATTCCTACCGGCTTTTACAAAAGGCTATCATAATTCAAATTTAAAGATACATTTCTAGGCTATGCTCCGATCATAGACATCAAACCTAGCAACATGACAACCGTTTATTTTATATACCACTGTGAAATAATGTTTAGGTATGTTCAGCAAAATGCTGTTCGAACGTTTGACCAGCAATTGTCTCTTGTTGCCCAAAAGAAAAATAATCTATGACAGAAGTTTTTTACTCCCACATCATAAGACTAGGAGGATTTCATGGGCTTGCATCTTTTATATATCAACAGTTGATAAGTTAATGGTTTCAGATTGCTATATTACTTATGTGTTGACTCTGGAATTTATACTCGAAATACAGTAACAGATTCTTATTTGCAAACAGTTTAATCGTGGTGTTCCAGAATTAACACTGACCTATGGGGCTCTCATGGTTCCTTTATTTAAAACATTTTTGAATTGATGCAGAAACATAAAGAGATTGCGAGAAAGCAATAGGACTTGAAAATCAGGAGAGACAGATTACTCCAACCAAAAAAAAAAGAGTACATGTAAATGCTAGCTATAAAACCAGGTTTAATCCACCATTTTCTACATAAGGAAATGCCTGTACTAAGTCAGGAGGTTGACAGTTGTTTTCCATTCGTTTGATGTGTTTGAGCTTTTGATTTTGCCATTTGATACGGGACTTTCCGTTTTGAATTTTCATTCGATCTCGGTATGTTTGTTATTTTACTTTTCATTTTCAATCGTTTACAAGAAAACAAGTTGAAAAAGGTAAGGTTGAAATTTTTACATTACATATTACCATCTAAACAACTACTTTTCTCCTGGAAAATAGCGAAAATTCCTTTATGTCATATATGTAATGTTATTGTAGATTATGAACATTACTTTTTAACATGCAAATATCTGAAATTAAAACTGTTACTTGATGAAATTAGAATTGGAC